CAGCCAAGACCACTCGCTTGCCAAGGACTGCACCTTGGTGGAATAAAAAGCTGAGTGGGCTAAGAGTTAAAAGAAGAAAGCTATTTAATATAGCGAAAAGGACAGAGCAGTGGGAAACCTATAACGAAACCCTCACCTGTTACAATAAAGAAATAAGGAAAGCCAAATGATCACCATGGAGGAGGTACTGCCAGGACATCAATGATGTACCAGGCAGTGTCAGACTTATGAGCGTCATGGCAAAACAGGCGACCAATAAGGTCAGCTCTATCAAGCTGCCTGATGGCAAGTGTACCCAAACTGGAGAAGAAACACTGAAGGAACTGTTCAGAGTTCACTTCCCAGATTCAAAGTTGATTGATGATTTGGTTGATGAGCAGGGCCAGCAGAACCTGGACATATGTGGATACATAACGAACAGGGGAGACTGGAACCTGGCTGGTTGGGTAATCAATCAATCAAAAATCATATGGGCGTTAGGTACCTTCAAACCATTTAAGTCTGCGGGAATAGATGGTATTGTACCGGCACTTCTGCAGCAAGGGGCGGAACATTTAGTCCCACACCTATGCCGTATATATAGAGCCTGCATGGCGCATGGGTTTATCCCTGCAGCCTGGATGGCAAGTTAAAGTGACATTTATTCCGAAGCCTGGGAAACTTGAGTATACCGAGGCTAAAGCTTATTGTCCTATTAGCCTATCATCTTTCCTTTTGAAAATGATGGAGAAGTGGTAGATAGACATATTAGCGATGGTGCATTGACAATTCATCCTCTGCATCGAGACCAACATGCTTACAAAATAGGTAAATCTATTGAAACAGCATTGCATAATGTAGTAACACACATAGAGAATGCTACTGAACACAAAGATATTGCTCTTGGAGCATTCATTGACATAGAGGGAGCCTTTGACAGAACCTCCTTTGATACAATAAAACAGGCTGCTGAAAGGCATGGCATTGAGCCCGCATTATGCAGATGGATCTGTGCCATGCTGAAATGCAGAAATATAAATGCTACATTGTCTGGAGAGATCCTGAGAGCGTCTGCGGCGAGAGGGTGTCCGTAGGGAGGTGTTCTTTCCCCTTCCCTGTGGAGCCTGGTCGTGGATGATCTTTTTTGGGAGCTCAACAGTACAGGACACTTCACAGTAGGATGTGCCGATGATATAGCAATCCTAATTACTCGTAATGGGAAATTCTCACTCACTATATCAGATGTCTTACAAACAGCCCTGTATGCAATTCCACAGTACAGGACACTTCACAGTAGGATGTGCCGATGATATAGCAATCCTAATTACTCGTAATGGGAAATTCTCACTCACTATATCAGATGTCTTACAAACAGCCCTGTATGCAATTCCACAGTACAGGACACTTCACAGTAGGATGTGCCGATGATATAGCAATCCTAATTAATGGGAAATTCCCACACATTGTATCAGAGGTCTTACAAACAGCCCTGTATACAGAAGAAAGTCGTCTTCTTGGTTTTGGTGCCGTGTATTCTTCGTTTTGGCTGAGGTTTCGGAGGAACGTATCGCCTCCATCTTCAGAGCAGGTGAATGGCTTGTGAATGCAGAAAGCAGTAGCTGTAATGATTAGGAAATGAAAGGCGCTGCTTTATACAGGAAGTAGGCAGGGGGCGTGGTTAGGAAGAGCGGACCAATAGGAGCAGTGGAGAGCGATTAAGGCCATATATGGTGTTAGTGTTAAGGGGGGGGGGAATGGCCAGTGAATCCAGGAAACTGGAGGTCAATAGCACTTG